ATAATAATAATAATCTCCTCCATGTCTCTAATCAGCATGCTCGGCCATTATCATCCAGAACGGACAATCTAACTGCCCTTGTCTACTCAGTGCACCATCGAGATCATTCTAGATCCTTTCCTGTGGTTTGAATCTTCATTATGGGTCATGTTTTCCTGTCTCTGCCTGACTGGTCATTTTTAATTGGACGCTACCAAACCAAGACTCAAAGCCACTGCCCTGAGTGGCCCTGTGGGACAGCGTAGAACCACCCACAGAACATCTGCTGAAAACACAAAGTGCATTCGGCCCTGCAGGAAGTTTGAGCAGAGGAAAAAGGAACAGAATCATGAAAAATAATGACATACAGTGGTTGGAATTCTACTCGTTCCAAAGCCTGATCTAACTACTTTCAGCAAAGTCAGCTTTAGAGTTGCGCTCAAGACTTTAAATTTTACATTGTTGTTGTGTGCCTTCATGTTGGAAGCGACCCATAAATGGCCCTCCAGCAGGGTTTTGGAGACAGGAGAGGAGACTGTCCATCCTTCTCCCACTGAGCAGCTGGTAGATTTGACCCACACATGTTTTGGGGACAGTAGTGTAGCTTCTTACCATCAGTGTGTGTGTGTGTGTGTGTGTGTGTGTGTGTGTGTAAATATAAAGTTTTTAAGAGAAAAGAAGAAAGGAGTAAAGTTTGTTGTTGTTGTTGTTGTTGTTATGTGCCATCGCTAGCAACTCATAGCGACCCTATGTACAACAGCTCTAACCCCTGCTCTATCCTGCGCCAATCGCATTGCCTCTGACACACCCATCCCGATTGCCCCAGTCACTGAATCAATCCACCGCATAGGGGGCCTTCCCCTTCTGCACCGTCCCTCACTGAATCAATCCACCGCATAGGGGGCCTTCCCCTTCTGCACCGTCCCTCCACCCTACCAAGCATGATGTCCCTCTCCAAGGACCTGTCCCTCCTTGCAACATGTCCAAAGTATGTTAAGACAGAGCCTTACAATCCTTGGAGTAAAGTTTAGGTACAAATAAAACTCAAAATAAAATTTTTTAAAAAAAATTTATTTTAATTTTAATGAACATTTACAGAGATTTTGGATTTTCATTCATTCATTGAAAATAAAATCTTCTAATAAAGGCATCCCACCTTTGTCAGCCCCACTGGTATTTTACATGTTGTTGGGATGTTGGGAGCCATATTGCCACTATTTCAATGCCACCAGGGTCACCTATGGACAGGGGAGCTTGTAGACTAAAACAGACTACACTTTAACATTTTCCAGTGAGAACCCCATGGAAAGGCACTGAGCTGTCTGAGTTGCTTGCTTGGGACACATGTCACCAGGAGGGGCCAATGGCGGGAGGTGGACTTCCTGTGTGGTGAAGGAGAGGGTCAGCCAGGGAGACTCTCTGAGAGCTGGACTGACCCACTAGCCATAGTGATGGCCAGCTATCCTGAGATATAAGAACAATACGCTTTTAAAAACAATTCTAGCTCCTACTCATTCTCCTTGTCAAGATAAGTAACAGAACCTCAATATACCATATATAAATTTTTTCATAGTTTTTTAAAGTTCTGTCCCTGGGTTACTTCCAAAAGGAATTCACACAATAGAATATATGCAGCACGCAGGAGCAATGATGTTGTCAATTATTATCTACCTCGGGAGGGACTGGAGAACATCATGCTGAGTGAACTAACTCAGTCCCACAAGGACAAATATTGTATAAAACCATTATTGTAGAATGAGTATAAGGACCCAAGGGAGGTGGGAAGTGTGGAAGCAGAGGGATGAGGATGTGCAGGGGGAGGGAGAATTATTCATGGAGGTGTACAATTTGATGGGTGGAAGGTGAAGGAAATTGGAAGATTCTGTTCTCGAAAACAATGTATTAGAATTTTGTAAATAAACTAGTATTTTAAAAAAAGTCAACTTGGGGAGAGGGAAATAAAACTACAAAAAGGAAGGGCCAATGAAATATAAATGGAGATGTTGAGTAGAAGTTTCCAGAAAACTCTCTAAGGGAATTTATTTAACTGGAAGCACCCCTGACTCTTTCCTTTTTCTCTTTCCAAGCACTGAAATCATGGCTGGAACTCCAGCAGTCACCTTGTGACATGAGGATAAGAGACTCAGGTTAAAGGAAGTGGAGAAAAAGAAGCAATGATTATTGATGGTTCTTGATGTTGTCATGAACAGTCCTGGACTATGTAAAAGGAAAAATTTTTCTTACGTAATATTAAAAAGTAAGTAATAGTGGCTTCTTCAAAGAGCTAAACAACCCGCTGTTATCAAGTCATTGAGTCATAGTGAGTCCAAGTACATCAGAGTAGAATTAGGGTTTTCAGTGGCTGATCTCCGATGACAGCACCAGGCCTTTCTTCCACAGCATCCCTGGGTGGACTCAAACCACCAGCCTTTCAGTTAGCAGCCCAGCAGTGCAGTTGGGGACCCTAGTGACTTGTTCAAGTTGCTATTTATTTCTTATATTTTTGTTACCAACAGCTGACGAAATACTCAGACCTAAGCATCTCCTGCAAATGTGTATGTGAGAGAGACAGAGAGACAGACAGACAGACTTCCCTGGGCACCAACTGACTGACTCACCTGTGGCACAGCTGCATGGCCTCAGCCGCCGCCGTCGCTTCATCCAGCAGGGATGCGTTGGCCATGTCCAGGCCGGTGATGTCACACACCATGGTCTGGTAGTTGAGTAAGCTCTCCAGCCTGCCCTGGGACACCTCTGGCTGGTACGGGGTATACTGGGTGACCCTGTGGGGAACAGGAGGCAAGTCCGTGAGTCTGCCGTGCAGAGACGCTCACGGAAATCCTTCTCCCTTAGGAAGAACTGGAGAACACAGAATCCAGCTCTCCTTTTGGTTTTCAGAAGAAAGCTTAGCATTAAGTCATAGTTATTACATGCATGGAGTCAGTTCAAATTCACCATGACCCAAATACAACAGAACAAAAGGTAGGTCTGTCCTGTACCATCCTTCTGAACGTAGGTATGTCTGAGTGCATTGCTGCAAGCGCTGGGTCAGTCCATCTAGGTCAGTTCCTCATTTTCACTGAGCCCCCATTTACCAGTCATGATGCCCTTCTCTAGGGACTAGTCCTTCCTGACAACACGGCCAAAGCACAGGAGACAGAGTCCCACCCACCTCTCTTGCAAGGAGCATTATGGTTATGCTTCCTCCAGGGCAGATGTGATCATGACAATGTTAGCCTTGGTTTGGGAATGAACAGTGCTTACTTTTCTGTCTATGCAAGGTGTCTTAAACATCAACGACAAGCTGAAAGGCTCGAGGTTCAAATCCACCCAGAGGTGCCTTCAAAAACAATTATGTTTTCAAAGGTCACACCTTTGAAATTGTTCTGTTCTGAGTCAGAATCACTTTGATGGCAACTAACAACATCGACATTTGTAAACATACATTTCTATTTTAATGACCTTATTATACGTAGGTGATCTTCTAAGTTGCCTCTTAAAGCTCACTTGAGCTGACTTGTGGTATAATTCCTTCACTTCTAATTCCCTTTCCTCTAGGTGAAGGTTCACCACATTCAATGACAAAAGAAAAGTGCCTGAGAATGTAACATTCCTAGTCCTCGCTTGTTTCACACAAGTGGTACCTCTTCCTAGGACCTGAACAGATGTCCGTGAGGAGTTCCATTACCCGATTACTAATACAGCAATGAGTGGTGGAAGGGCCCCTGCTGTTCTAAATGAAAGGTTAGTGGTTTGAGCCATCACCGCTCCAAGAAGCTATCTCATCCCTACAGCTTCAGAAACCGAATCAATGACAGCTGATTAGGTAAGATCAATGAGGAGTTCTGGTGACACAGGAGTTACGCCACAGTGGCTGCTAACTGGAAGGTTAACACCTGGGCAGATTACAAAGCAGTGAGATACAGATTCACATAACATCACCTGTGGTTCTTAGGCAGGAGTGTAGCCATCAGTGTGACAGTTACTGATCTTGTTCCTGCTTCTTAAAAAATGTCTTCATTCGCCCTTTCTATGAAGATGGCACCGAAAGCCAAGAAGGAAGCCCCTGCCCCTCCCAAAACTGAAGCCAAAGCAAAGGCCAAGAAGGCGTCCTGAAGGGCATCCACAGCCAAAAAAAAAAGAAGATCCGCACATCACCCACGTTCCAGTGGGCTAAGACGCTTAGACTCTGAAGGCAGCCCAAATACCCCCGGAAGAGCGCCCCCAGGAGAAACAAGCTTGACCACTATGCCATCATCAAATTTCCCCTGACCACTGAGTCAGCTATGAAGAAGATAGAAGATAACAACACACTTGTGTTCATGGTGGATGTCAAGGCCAACAAGCACCAAATTAAACAAGCTGTAAAGAAGCTCTGTGACATTGATGTGGCTAAGGTCAACACTTTGATTAGGCCTGATGGAGAGAAGAAGGCCTATATTCAACTTGCTCCTGATTATGATGCTTTGGATGTTGCCAACAAAATTGGGATCATCTAAACTGAGTCCAGCGGGCTAATTCTAAATATAAAGTTTTCTCACAGAAAAAAAAATGTCTTCATTCATTCACTCACTCCCCGTATCTACCAAGGACTCACCAAGGGCCAACACAAGAGCTCCCATAGATTCTGTCGGTGCATAATAAGCAATGTGGAAGCAGTCCCCAAACCCAAGGACCCCAAACTCCACAGGGGAATGTGAATGCTGATGCTGAGTGCCATCTGAGAGGATCCTGACTGTCAGATTCCTCCCACGTGACAGAGCACAACTGCCCCAGAAGGATTGCAAGGCCAACGTCCCAGTGAAAGCAGAGGGGTCGTTTCTCCTGCTAAGATGCCAGGGAGTTAGAAGCCCAGTGCTTAACCACTGAGCCACCAGGGTGGAATCGGAAAGTTCCTTAAGTCATCTGGGAACGATACAAGTTTTGGAAAAAATTAAATAAGGAGACAGGACAGAGGACAGCAATGACTTATGGCAGAGCTGTTACCTTCTCACCAGAGCCCACCTCCCAGGCTCGATCCTCAGGGTTCAGCTCCAGGTCTGAGCAGGGGTGTGGGGGGCATTTCCCGTCTCTCTAGTTCCTGTGCTCCAGAGGTTTGAGTTTGGGGTGTTTTGTTTGTTTGTTTCAAACCCATCTCCTTTTTCTCCTGCTTCAGGTTCAGGATAATCTTAGGGGTATTTCCATCTTTTGCTTGGGGCTGGCTTTGAAATCAGATGTCATTTCCATTTCTCCTTCCCTCTGGTGGGTAGGGTGGTGGAGAGCTTGCCTTTACAACAGCGACTGGGTCAGACTTTGAAATCATTTTCTGAACCTTGGTTTGAGGAGAGGAGTGTGTGTGTGTGTGTGTGTGCGCGCGAGCGCGCGCGTGCACGCGTGCACAGCAGTGTGAATTTTTGCTTCAATCAACTCTTTGAACAGCCTGGCTCAGCAACTGTAAGTCGGATGGCCAAATTGTCAGTGGTTGGTGAACTGGAATGAGGAAGCATACAAAGCACAGGGCAGGCAAAGCAGGGGGCGCAGAGCAGAAACGGGGTCATTCACAAGGTCAGACGCTTTCCCACGCCGCCTGCACCATTGAGAAGGACACAGCACTATCCTGGCCATATGCTCCTACCCTGGCCATATGCTTGGGCTGTCTGGTTAACAGGAAACATGCCTTTCACTGTAACTGTCCACCAAACAAAGAGAAAATGCAGCATGTTTATAAAGATGACATAGTCTACACGAGAGGAAAGGAGTAACTGAGGAACTCAATACTGAATATGATACTAATAAATAGCAGAAAACAGAGTCCACTAAGACAGGAATGATGTAGTAATAACAATTGTTGTTGTTGTTGTTGTTTAAGTTCATTACTTTTATTTATAGTATGATGTTTCCTTTTTTAAATTGAGATTTTAATGAAAGTTTATAGAGAACTTGAATTTTCATTAAGTCATTGATGCATATTTTCCTCCCTGCCCCTCCCCAGCTGGTTTTCTCTTTGGATAAAAAAAGTTCATTCATTGTTATTCAGTTCCCCCTCACCCCGCCAGTCCACTTTACTATGCAGCTCTTATTCTGGACATTAGTCATGCCAATAATACCTAATCACATATTCCTTTTATACAGTTCTCTCCATCATCTCTTTCAATGCAGTGTACACATTATTTATGCCCTCTTTTCTTAGTCACCCCCCCATGTCAATCCTATTTTATAACACTGGCATTATGCAGTATTTGTCCTTTTGTGACTAAGACATTTCATTCAGCATAATGTCCTTCAGGGTCACTCATTTTGTATAGTATTTCATGAGTTCTTTGTTTTTCAATGCTGCAAAATATTCCATTGTGTGAATATACCACAGCTTCTCTAGCCATTCTTTCGTTAATGGGTGCTTGAGTTGTTTCCAACTCTTTGCTATCGTGAATAAGGCAGCAAGAACATGAGTGTGCAGTTGTTGCTGATTTTATGTACTGTTGAGTCAACTACAATTCATTGCCACCCTATAAACAATAGCTCTGAACCCTACTAGGGAGTCAGTTTCACTGTCTCTGATACACACAACATATTCTTAGGCTAGTTCTTATAGAAGGACATTATTCTTAGACAACAACAACATATATAGGATTTGTTACTATAATCTACAGCGATAGTTACAGAAAGGCTTCAGGCCTTTTTTTATACATAGGGCCACTATGAGTCAGGCTCAACTTGATGGCAATCAACAACTATAATATGTACTGCCTTTGACTTACTGTGACTGTCTACTGGGTTTCCCAGATTATGAATCTTAAAGGGAAGAGATTGTCTTATCTTTCTCTCATGAAACATTTGGTGGTATCATCAATATTAAAGTCACTGTTACCCTTTAATACATTTGCTCATTTTCATTACTTATTAGAGGATTTTGAACTTTTTTGGAAGTATTATGTGAAATATGGAACATTGATGTCTTTTATATTAAAGTAATTAAAGGAAAAAAATAATGCTGAAAAAGAACAGTTCCTGCTGACAAGGAAAATATTCAGGAACCCATTTTAAAATAAGATTTAAGCTGCTTTATGTGCAACCTAATACATAAAGGAATTTGGTTCTTGGTTTGGAGATTTCACTGGACATCACCATTAGCTGGTCTAATAAAGTGTTAGTAATTCTGAGCTACCTCCAAGTTCATTGTGTACCTGGGGTCTTACAAGTGGCCACTGCAGGCACAGCAATTTCTCTCTGTTCATCCGGAACAACAGAGGAAGGAGAGTCAGGAACCAGAAGTGGACATGGAATGTGTAGTTAATTGTATCCATGAACAATTACCAACAGAAGAACTAGATGGTGTCTAACTACCATTAGTTATCAAAGGTTCTAGAAAAGAATCTTTTATTAAAACAGAATAGATGCAAAATAGATTTTCAAATACTCATGTGCTCTACACTTTATGGAACTATAGAGGCGAATAAATCCCTGAAACTGTCACTCTGAGATAACCTTTAAATTTTAAACCAAAAAATATCCCCTGAAGTCATCTTAAAAGCAACCATTACTATGCAGCACTTAGGAGCAACAGTTTTGAAAAATACTATGTGACTTGGGAGAGGCTGGAGAGCATTATGCTAAGTGAACTAACACAGTCTCATAAGGACAAATACTGCATAAGAACATTATTGTAAAAACAGAAGGATAACTAGTAAAACATGTACAGGAACTCAAGGAGTGGGGGGAGTGAGGGGTAAGGGTGGGTAAGGGTGAAAGCACAGGGCTGCACAGTTTGGTGGGTGGCGGTCGGGAGGGAAGCAAACAGGAAGGATCCAGGCAAAAAGACAGTTATGACGGTAATGACGGGCAAGGTCCAATGGTGACTGATTTTATAAAACATACTGTATGAGAATGATTGTATGAAACACAATGTGAATGAAGAATAGCATGAAACACAATGTATATAAACTTTGTAAGCAAACCAATTAAGAAAAAAATAATGTAAAATAGAATGTATATAAATGATTGCATGAAACACAAAGTAAATTAAAGAGATGAAACACAATGTATATCAATAAAACATAATATAAAGGAATTGTTATATGAAAACCAATAAAAATATATTTTTTTAAGAAAAGCAAACATTAGCCTAACTAATCAAAAAGATTTGCTTGAGCAATGTGTTCTTTTTTTTTCTATATTTTATTAATTTTCATAAACATTTACAGAGATTTTGGGTTTCCATTCATTCATTGTTGCACTATTCTCTCTACCCTCCTCCCAGTTTGTTCTTGTCCAAATGCCACAGTGCTTGTCAAAGCCAGTTCTGATTAATCTTCTTTGTGCAATGTGTTCTTTTAAGAACTGCCTGGATAAGATCAAATTGACAAGAGCAACTCGAAAGATCAACTAGGAACCTTAAAAGATGCAAAGAGTTCATGGTTTTGGGTGAGAACAACGCAGAAAAGGACGTGGAGTGACTGCACAACCTGAAAAACACAATCAACGTCACCAAATTTTACAGGCAGAAATTGGTGAGCTGATGCACATTCTGTTGTGTTACTCTCAGCAACAACAACATAAACAATGAGAAAAAAGTATGATGTCAAATACTGTGATGCCATTTATTTGCTATTTAGTTAGGTCATCATTTTTCAGGGGATGGGAAGATATATAGGGAACATATGCTGAGTCAACAACATCTGCATGTCCCACCCGGTGACACTAACCAAGCTGTTCCTTCGTCTCCTCCCAGTTGTTGACTCCCTTACTTACAGCAGAGTCGCCCTCCAGGGTTCCAGGACTGTAATTTTTTTTTAAGCTAAGAAGACATTTATTTATTATTACTTCTTTTTTTATACTGGTTTATTTACAAAGTTTGAATATATTATTTTTCACACAGAAACTTTCCCATTTCTTTCAGTCCCTCTGCCCCTCCAACCCATCCAACTATACGATATTATAATTAGCATCCCCCTTTTCTCCTCTTCTTACACCTCTCCCCTCTCCCTTGGATCCTCATACTCATTCTACAATAATGGTTTTATATAGTATTTGTCTTAATGGGACTGAGTTAGTTCACTCAGCATAATGCTCTCCAGTCCCTCCCAAGTTAGGTAGTAATTTACAAAATCATTGCTCCTGCGAGCTGAGTAGTACTTCACTGTGTACCATAATTTCTCAATCCATTCCACTGTAGTTGGACATCTGGGCTGTTTCCATATTCTTGCAATGGTGAATAATATTGCTATGAACATTGGGCTGTAATCTTTATGCAAGCAGGATGCCACTTCTTTCTCCCATGGGCAGCTGGTGGCTTAGAATCTCTAACCTTTCAACTGGCAGCTGAGTGAACACTGTGACATCAGGGATCAATAACAAAACGCATCATCACCCTCTAAATTTTCTATCTCATCTCTTGTATTACCATTCTAGATTTATCACCAAAGTCTCAAGGAAATATTTCTTTACTAATTAGGTTACTGTTGTCAGGTAGGCACAGTCCTTGGATAAAGACATCATGCTTGGAAAGGTGGGGGGTCAGAGAAAGACAAGAAGCCCCCATGCAGGATGGACTGAGACAGTGACGGCAGCAATGGGTTCGAGCGTGGCGGAGCCTGCGATGAGTGGGCTGTGTCAAGGCTCATGTCTATGGTTCCCAGAAGCACTAGGAGGCACAGTCACCCAACAGCACATCACAATTGTTTTTTGGTTTTTCTTTTTTTTAATTGAGATTTTAATGAAAGTTTATAAAGAACTTAGATTTCCATTCATTCATTGTTGCACATTTCCCTCCCTGACCCCCTTCCTCTCAGTTAGCTTTAAAAAAAAAAGAAAGAAAAAGTCCTTTTGTTGTTATATGTTGTTTTGATTTAAAGATTTCAGGTTATATTTTTACTTATAGTTCCATTATCCCATTTTATAAATAGAAAAGAAAATGGATATTAAAAGTGGTTTTCTGGGGAGCTCAGGTGGCCTAGTGGCAAGAAGCTGCACTGAAATCCCAGAGGTATGCGGTTCGAATCCACCCGATGCTCTGCCAGAGAAGGAGGGGCAATCTCCTCCTGTAACAGTCAGATCTGATTTGATGGTACACACAAAAAATAACAAAATAAAAATAAATTTAGAAGAAAAAAAAAAGTGGTTTTCTCTAAATGGTGTGACTAACAGGAACAACTGTTTTCTTTTCATTGTCTATATCCCAGTGTTAAACACACCATTTCCACTTATTAATCAATTTCTATGTGTTAGGAATGAGTTTGCTACTTCCTCTCCCCAATTATGTTATACACACTCACAGAAAAAAATGTGGGAAGCAATGAATATGTTAGCTTTTTACAAACCATGCAGCCCAGCGTTTGCTAGTGTCCAACATGCATGTTATCTGTGTGTGCACATTCTTCACAGAGATGCATTATTTGCAAAAATTATGGTAGCTATTAGGAAAATAAAATGAGCCAACATCCTCAAAATGCTAAAGCTTTTAAGCAAAACATGGTGCTCAACAAACTGTCTATAATCCAGAATTCCAGTGCTTCATCTGGCTATTGCTTTCTATTTCTGGGTGTCTTTAAATATTTTTCAAGTGTATCTGAACTAAAGCAAAACAAAATGTATCTGAACTGCTAAAAAATAATCAATGCATCTGAGAGGTATGCAGTTTGAATCCACCAGATGCTGTGCTGGAGAGGGAGGAGCAATCTCCTCGTGCACCAGTCAGATTTGGTTTGCCCGAGCACACACACACACACACACACACACACACACATCAATGTAGTTCAAATAGGATGTTGTCATTGTATGGCACTAAGTCAGAACTGACTCATAAGCTGACCCTTCAGCTGGTTTTCAGAGACTATTAACTGCACAGGGGAGACTGTCTTGCTCCCATGGAGCAGCTGGTGGATTCGAACCACATACCTTTCCATGATGCCCCCAGAGCTCCCTCAAATAGGAAAGACAGTATTAACACTTATTCCAAAACAACCAGTATGTGCTATCATTTTGACAGAGAATTTCTTTGGAATCGGAAAGAGAAGCTGTGGAGGCTCAGCAGGAAACCATTCTTTAGATTCTCCCACTTTCCTCCTGCTGCCAAAGTCACACAAAACAGAAGCCACAAGGAAAACGTCAAGGAGCTGACATGAGTGACTGATGTCATCAGGAGCGAAAAATGGGGAGCAGGGACCCTCACAAAATATACCCTGACTCTGGTGTGAACGTTCTTTCCTCAGCCCGAATGTCTGTGTCCTTTCACAGCTGTGTTATCCATTTAGTTTCCTCTCACGTTGCCGGAATTTGTTGGCTCGGTCTCTATGGAAACCATTCAGAAGAGTGATAATGTGAAGTCTCCCCACCCTCTGTCTCTCGGTCCCTCGGTCTGTGCCATCCATCAAGGCAGTGTCACCCCGAGCTCAGATCTTGGAGGGAAGAGTGGAAAGGAACCAGACGGGCAAGGCCGCAAAAACAGAGGCTGAAAAGCAAAGCACAACAAACACCCGCTGCTCGCTCCGGCTGCTGGCCTACACTGAGGAGCTCCGCTCGTGGGCAGGAGGCGATATGAGGGGCACTCTGCAGGCCACCAAGAGCCAGCCTGCTGGCCGGGACCCAGGCGGGCCACGGCTGCCCATTCACGGGCGCTGGGCGCTTATTTTTAAGGGAGAAGAGAGACACACCATTTGCTTATAAAATCCAACCTGGAGTTCAACCTTCAAACATTTAGCAACAGAACACTGGGAAAGAATCCACACTCCACACTCTCAAAAAGCAGGAACAGGAGTTCCCAGACACTTTACACTTTGCTGTTCAGTCATCAGTTAAACAACAAATAGAAGTGATACCACAGTGGAGTATTATTTTGAGTTCTGTTTCACATTTTTCTCGCATTCTAAAAGGGACCTTCCACTGTGACCCCTTTCAGAACTGGTTCCCTTTTAAGTCAAGCAGGATGATGACTGACCCGTTCACTCTGTAGCAGTTCACACATGGCCTAACAGGTAAGGAGTTGTGCTGCCAACCCAAAGGCAAGCAGTTCAAATCCAATAGCTGCACTGAGAAAGAAAGATAGGCAATCTCCCCCCCTTTGGTATTTTACAGCCTCTGAAAAATCTCCTGAAGGGTCAGCTATGAATCAATTTCAACTCCCTGGTGTGTAAAACATGTACTTTATTTGTATAGTCTCACCTCTGCCTACCCTTCCCAAAAGGTGCCGGGTACCACATTTGAATGTTAGCAAGCAGCCCAATCCCCTTAGTGGGGAAATCTTACTGTCACAGTGACTGTGGCAACGGGCTCAAGCGATCAGAGATGATGAGGGTGGTACAGAAAAAGACAATGAATGAATAGGGGAAAAAGATTAAATGGGAAGAATATGCTGTAAAAAATATATATGTTGCATTAAAAAAAAATTAGATGGAGATAGAGACAGACCCAGGGAGAAGACAAAGGACATGGGCAGGGGGCACGTTTTCAGAGGGCACAGAGGTCACAGGTTAAGAGGAGACAGGCAGGTGACACAGGTACAGAGGAGACAGACAATAATCACTAGCAGTGACAAGAGCGGAAATAGTCAAGGAAGGATCTCCTCCAACAGCCATACCCTGAATCTGGACTTTCGGCTTTTAAACAGATCAATTAGTTTTTAAAGTAAAAAAAGAAATATGTTACCATCCTGAGTTTTCCAGTAAGTTCCGTAAGATGGCCTGCGGCACCGAGCAGTTATAATAGCCCATCCCAATGTATGACCTCCAGATCTGGTTTTTGCTGGAAATGGCACTCAGAGTTGCAAGGATTTCATTTTCACCTGTCAGTGGGAAGGAGAGAAATGTTAGAAAATGTCTCAGCAGGGAGCTTTCATTATCATTTATTTAAGTATCTAATTATCCAAAGATTCTCTTTTACTATTTTTATGAGAACAATTGTGTACAGAATAAAGGAATCTGATCAGCCCACACTGAAGTATACAGAATGCTGCAGAATCTCATAGCAGGATTCAATTTCTCCTCAAAGCTGATTTCCTTGAACTCTTTTTTATGCTTGGTGTTTTGTTTTTGAAACTTTGTTACATTTGCCCAATTTTAACACTTTTATCTCTGTTTCTTTTCACCTGATTTCTGTTCTAATTCTGAAAGAACGCTGGCGGCTTAGCGTGCAACACGGGGCTCTGCTATCTGAAATGTCCTAGGTTCTAATCCACCAATGATTTCACAGGAGGAAGATGAGGTCATCTCTTCCCATAAAGATTATAAGCTTGGAAAATTTGGACGGTTGCTATGAGCTGGAATCAGCTCTACAGTAGTGGGTTTGGCTTTGCATCTAGTTTCCACTGGGGGAGAACAAAAGCTGTGCTTCTCTGTTTTAAACTACACTGTCCAAGCAAAGGCATCTGCAATCACTTCAAGTGAATGCAAAAATTGGACAATGATTAATTAAGCTGAAAATAAGGTCCCCCCCAAGATACCATCAATAATAACAATAGACACTTCCGGAAGCAGTAAAGCTTTCACTGTCTTAGATAACCCATAATCTACATTCTCTCTAAAACTGTCCCACTGACTCACACCCTTTCCTTTGTAAAATTGCCTCTGGAAAGCAGTTTAAAACTTAAGGTCTCTGCCGGAGAAGGAGGCACAATATCCTCCTGTACCAGTCAGATCTGATTTGACAGTACACACACACAAAATAATAAAAAATAATAAAAAAAACCCAAAAACTTAAGGTACACTGTCGTGAGAGACCCATAGGCAACCTTATTTTTATTTTTTTATTTTTTTTTAAATTTTGTGTGCGTGTACCGTCAAATCAGATCTGACTGGTACAGGAGGATATTGCGCCTCCTTCTCCGGCCGAGCGTCTGGTGGATTTGAACCGTGTTCCTCTGGGATTGCAGTGCAGCTTCTTGCCACTAGGCCACCAGAGCTCCCCCCCATAGGCAACTTTAATCTGCATCCTGTCAAGGCAATGGGGTTAAGAATTGGGAAAATCATTAATGCAGAGAAAACCCAGTTTTAGGTTCATTCATACAATGACAGCAACATAACAATGGCATTTAAGGTTTATTGTGCAGTCCTGGTGATGCCATGGTTAAAGTGCTTAACTGCTCGTCCAGAGGTCAGTGACTTGAACCACCGGCCACTCCACAGGAGGAAGGTCCAGCTCAGTAAAGATTTCCACTTCCGGACGGAGCTCCCTGTCAGTCTCTAGAGCTAAAAGCTCCTGCCCACCCAGAGGGCTGAGTCTGAGGGCCCCAAGGCTCTGCCTCTGGACCTTTTCACACTCCCTCCTTGGTGAGCTCAGCCTCTTCACAGCCATAAAGCCCCACACTCGTCGACCTCTCCTTTACACATCGGTCTCCTTTTAACACACGAACAACGCTTCTAAACCCACTGCCACCAGTGCCAGCTCAGAGTGGACCTGGAGGACAGAGTGGACGTGCCCCAGAGGGTTTCCAGAGTGTAAAGTCCTGCACACACCTTCTCTTTGTCCCCCAGAGGAGCTGGTGGCTTGGAACTCCTAGTCAGCAGTCTCTGTCAGTTAACACAGTAGGGCTGAAGACAGCCTTCTTCTTTTAACTCCACTGTACTTTCTATGAAGATTTTTCTCATGAATCCGTCCTTATTCTCCACAAGCACACTTTCTCCTTCCAATCCTCACCTCACCAGACATCCACTCCAAATGCCTTCGCAGGAAATAAAAACCCACGAGACTGGTCACTCGCCACAGTGGATTCAGAAAAGAGAGGACGATGGGTAAATGGTTTCTAGAGCAGTATCCTGCCTTCGTGCAGTGAAAGTTTAGGGAATTTGAGACCACAGATCAACATCTGAGGAGACACGGAAGTACAAACTCCTTAGATACCATCATGCAAGAAATCCAACCGATTCCCAACAAGACCTAGGAGAAGGAGCCCAGTGGGAAGGTAGCTAATTTTCTGTGCCTACAAGATCAGCTTCCTGGCTCTGTGTAATGCCCTGAGGACCTAACGAGGACAGAGGGTTCTCCATGGTAGACTTATGAATAGAAATGCCAGAACACTTACTTGAACTCACGCACAATCAGTACATAGACCAAGACACAGTCATTGGAATAGAACAAGGGGCCACCAAATGGTTTAAATCAGGAAAGGTCTCTGCCAGGATTGTATCATTTCCTCATAATTAATCAATCTATAGGCTGAGAAAATGATTCAAGTAGGTGGACTACATAGAAAGTGCCATTAGGATTGGAGGAAGGAAGACACACCAACAACTTGAGTTATGCAGATGACACGATCTTGCTTTTAGAAAGTAAAGAAGACCTGAAGCACTTACTGAAGAAGATCAATGACTACAGCCTTCAATGAGGATTACAGCTCAACATTAACAAAAGAAAAATCCTCACCATGGACCAACAGCAATACCATGATGGATGGAGAAAGGTTTGAAGTTAGTAACGACTTGGATCCAGAAGCAACAGCCGTCACAGCAGCAGTCATGAAAATCAAAAGACATGTTACATAGTGGGGAAATCTGCTGTCCAGAGTCTCTCCAAAAATGTGGGGGGAAAAATTATGTCAGCTTAAAAATTAATGCGGGCCTGATCCAAGTCATGGCATTTTCAATTGCTTCTCGTGTATCTGAATGTTGGACAATGAATAAGGATTGCAAAATGCGTTTGAATTGTGGTGGTGGAGAGTATTCCAAGGACCGTCAAAAGAACAATCGTCTACCTTGGAGGAAATGCAACCAGGGTGCTCCTTAGAAGCAAGGATGGAGAGACACTGCGGTGTCAGCCTAAACCTTGGCTTTTTTAGCCATTCTATAAGTCCCCTCTGGTCTCCTAACAGCAGATAACATGGTTTCACAAATCAGCAACAGCTGGAAGAGCAATATAAAGAGAGCACTCGCCACACTGAGAGAGAGAGAGAGAGAGAGAGAGTGTGTGAAAACACGAATACAAGAGTGGCAGCGTGACTGTGGTTAAGCTTCCTGCAGCATCCAGCCTCGCCAGTTAAAAAAAAAATATCAACCCACCCAGCCTGCATACCGACAGTCACGTGAGTCATTCCCGGATGGGTCTGAGTCTCTGGAGGAACGAGAAATCATTGAACCCACAGGTCTCAAAGGAATTGAGCAACCGAGCCACCGACTGAAGTGTTCATAGACACCGCAATTCAGCATTTGGGATGACATGGATCTGAGGCTTCTCAGAGTCTGTTATAAATCTTAACAGGACAAATTATAGACACTCCCACACTTTGAGCATGTTGTCAGGAGGGGCAGGTGCTTGGAAAAGAACATCATGCCAGGAAAGGTAGCGTCTCAGCAAAGAGGGAGAACCTGGGCGAGATGGAGATACCACAACAATGGACTTGAGCATGGTGGAGACTGTGACGACAGGGCACAGCTTTACTCTATTGTTCATAGGTCACCGTGAGTCAGAATCACCTGACGGCACCTAGTGCCAGTAACATGGTAGAAAGATGGGTCTACTGATGCTGTGACCAGATCAGAAGGGAAATGCCAGGACAGGAGGATACATACAGCAGTGTGAAAAAGAGGTGCTCCCTGGATCAGACTCGGGATAGGTTGTCTTACCACCAGACCCTTACGTCGAGACACCTAAATCATCCTCAGACCCAGGGAACCATCAGTTCTTGGCCAGTTCTTGGCCCTCTGTAGAGACGGCTCCACCTCACAGCGACCCCATGTCAGAGGAGAGCCATGCTCCATGGGGGTTTCAGAAGTACATTCCAGGCCTTTTTCCCGGCTGCCTCTGGAAGGCTGTCCAAGGTTCAACCTCTCAGTGACCACAGCCCCACTCAGGAACTCCTTGCTAAATACATCTTTCCATAATGTATAAGGTTCTACACGTGAACATTAATCACTAGATGAAATAGTGTGTGCCTTCTTACTTACTAAACAAAAGTTATGTCTACTTGCAACCAGACTTTTATCTTAACCTGAAACCTGACCTCAAAGCAGTCCGCTTCAATTTGCACTTACAGACTTTCTTACATTGGCAAGAATACTCTAAGAGCCTTGGTCATTAAGTTGTTGCCTTAAATTTATACCAAGTTGTCAAAGTTGCCATTTCAGTATTTTTCTTCTGTATGTAGAAGCAGAAAACATTATGAAAACCAATTTAGCATATATAAGAAAGCAATGGTTGCACTGGACTGTGACCTGCACAAGGAACCCTGGTGGCAGAGAGTGTAACAGGCCAGGCTGCTACCGTAAGGCTGGAGGTTTGAATCCACCAGGCGCTCCACGGCTGAAAGATGGGCAGTCCTTCCCATAAAGACTTACAGTCTCAGGGAGCTCTGGTGGCCTAGTGGCAAGAAGCTGTACTGCAATCCCAGAGGTGAGCAGTTCGAGTCCACCAGATACTCTGCTGGAGAAGAAAGGACAATTTCCTCCTGTACCACTCAGATCCAATTTGACAGTACACACACACAAAAAAAATTTTTTTTTAAATAAAATAAATTTTTATAGTCTCGGAGCCCTGAGAGTGGTAATGAGTCAGAATCCACTCGACTGTGAGTGAGGGTTGGGTTTTAGGCGGTCTGTTAAGTGCATCAACGTCATGAAAAAGCTTGAAATACTGTGAGAGTGACCGAAACCGGGCACAGGGTCACAAAGGGAACACATGCCACTGGATAAACAGAGCTGGTAGACTTGTGTGAATATACCAGAGCTTCTCTATCCCTTCATTTGTTGATGGGCACTGAGCTGTTTCCAGCTCTTTGCTATTGTGAAGAAAGTCACAATAAACATGGGTATGCACGAGCTGGTAGATTTGTGAGACAGTGAGTTGCCACCAAGC